ATCATCTTTTTTTTTTCTCTCTCTCTCTCTCTCTCTTCTTCGCTCTCATATCTAGTCTCCTCTCTTCCTCTTATCCTCATTTCACATTCTTCGTCTCCCAACACCACCACCACCACCACCACCACTACCACTACTACTACCACTACTACCACCACCACCACATCACTACCGCCGCTTCGTCCTCTCCCAGGTTTAATCTTCTAAGTGCGAGCTGCCGCGATTGTAAGCTTCATTTTTATCCCTTGTGTTAATTAACTATGTATAACAGATAGGCAGGACTTTGTTGAACGTGATGCGAGGCGCCCAACACCACAACGCCACCAGCTGGGAGCCACTTAATGCTGCCTCATTCTCTGGTTATACTGTACTGTATGCTGGCAGGGAGGGAGGGAGGTCGAGCCTGAGGGAGGGAGGGAGGGAGGAGGGGAGGGGGAGGAGGGAGTCGAGCCTGGAGGGAGGGAGGGGAGGGAGGAGGGAGGGGAGGGGAGGTCGAGCCTGAGGAGGGAGGGAGGTCGAGCCTGAGGGAGGAGGGAGGTCGAGCCTGAGGGAGGGAGGGAGGGGAGGGAGGGAGGTCGAGCCTGAGTGGGAGGGAGGAGGGGAGGGAGGAGGGAGGAGAGAGGGGAGGGAGGAGGAGAGTCGAGCCTGGAGGTATGGCTTTTTTGATGATGATTATTAGCACATATTACTGTTATACATATTACCTGTTATTGTTGTTTTTACTTTCCAGGTTATACATGAGAGAAACAAAAATTGCAGCAGGTACTAATAGGCAGGATTTCTACTTGTGTATGATGAAAGTGCCTTAAATTGGTGTTGCATTTTGGGTAAAGAAATTTTTATAACGTTAGAGCCAAAACTATTTTAACCTACCTACATACGAAGTCAACACACACACACACACACACACACACACACACACACACACACACACACACACACACAAAACTATATCACTTAACTCTGTCCAACTTTATCGCTTTCATTCTGTATATCAGAGCAGTATCGAGAAACTTTTGGCCTGTAACGCAAAAAAAAAAAATACGAATTTCTAACAACTACCAACCCAGGTGCCCGCCCCCCCCCTTAAAAAAACTAAAACAAACACAAAAAAAACACAAAAAACATCCATCTTCCCCCAAACACCTGTCCGGTTAAATTAACATTAACCGGGCCAGGTAAAAACTACTAGTGACGAAGTAAAAGGTTAATTAATACATGATTGTTATTGATCGCCAGGTTAATTACCCATTGTGTCGTATTATATTTATTTTACCTGAGAGAATGGAATGATGTTATTTTTCAGGTACTGGTAGATAGATAGATGGATGGATAGATAGATAGATAGATAGATAGATAGATAGATAGATAGATAGATAGATAGATAGATAGATAGATAGATAGATACCAAAAGTTTATATAAGTTGATTTCTAAAAAAAAAAAAATATTTGCATTGTATTTTTATTCGATGTTTTTCTACATTTTTGCTGTGACTTCATTCCTGTTTTCACTTTATATATCACATCATCTTTTTAGTTACTTCATTCATTAGTTCATTCATCATCCGGCTAATTCATCCAATTCCAATCACCTCATTCATCATCTACCATTTCATCCATCTGTCAAGCTAATCACTCCATCTCATCCATCACCAAGTCAGTCACACACACACACACACACACACACACACACACACACACACACACACACAACACACACACACACACACACACACACACACACACACCTAACAAGCAAGTGGTCATCCAGCCGTCTGAGGTTGATGGATGAGAAGGTCATAGCCAATGTTCCTCCTGGATGAAATATGGTCTGGCCTGGGGTGGGGCGGGGGTGGGGTGGGTGAGTGGGTGGGTGGGTGAGTGAGTGAGTGAGGAGGGAGTGAGTGGGCAGGAGGGTGGGTGAGAGGGTGGAGGGGTGGGTGAGTGTGAGTGGGTGGGGTGAATGAAAGGATGGGCAGTGGATTTGTGGATGGTAGGGTGAGGCACAGGCAGGTGGGTAACAGGTAAGGGGTGGGGTGACTGCGGGGTGGGGTGACTGGTGGGTGGGTGGTGGGTGGTGGGTGGCTGGTGTGCGGTCGCACACACCCTCCAAATCATGCCATGGTCTCTGCCTCAGGTCCATCTGTCAACGAGGAGGTAAGAGACCTGAGCTTCACTGACTCAGGGGTCAATACTCACAGGGTCAAGTGGGGTGTAGACTGCCTCACCAACCCCACTCCCACCTCACCAACCCCCTCACCAACCCCACTCCCACCCTCCCCCAAGAAAAACAAAATAAAAATAAAAGAAAAACGAATTCTAAAAACATCATACATTACGTGGCAATTCTCAAACATAAATTTATATTATCAAAAAAAAAAGAAAATATTCCCCAAAATGTGTGTTAATTCGTAAATATAAATCGTCCGAATTTAGACAAAAATATCTGCAAGGTTTCTGAGACGAAAATTGTGTGCAGATTCGGAAAACTACAGAAAAGTACGAATTGTAACATAAATTGCGGGAACTCTAAAAAAAAAATATATATAATAAATTGTCTGAATGCCGAAACGTATTGTGTATATTCCGAAAAATGTGCACAGATTCGGGACGAACTTCGTACAGATTGCGAAATAAACTGTGAACGAGGAAGTATACCCACTTAGTGCAACACAGTTTATCAGCAAGGTGGATTGGGGTATCCTTTACGAGAGAGGGTCAGCAATAATAATAATAATAATAATAATAATAATAATAATAATAATAATAATAATAATAAGACACGACCTTCAACACCAGGCAGGGGGAGGGGGGAAGGGGTCAGGTGTTAGACAAGACTGTGGAGAATGACTCGCCTTTCCCAAGACAGTCAGGCTATACAACAAGACATCAACACCAACTCCCTAGCGTGTACACTGGCTATGTTTACTTGTCCTTGTGTATTGACTCGAAATTTAACAGGGACAGGAATACAGTTTTCAGCTTTAACAAGATAAACTACATAGTGTGGTAGTTGCAGATTTAGGTCGTTGGTGATGTGTAAATCCGTAAATCTGGTTTCTATTTTGACAGATTTTTTAGGGGGACAGTAAAAGCATTGGGGGATTTTTTTTTTTTTTTTTTTTGCTCAGATTGACGAGTACTTGCTCCGCAATGAACCATGACCTAGATTGGCTCAGTTGATGGTTAGGAGTACAGGAAGCTAGGGATACAACACACACACAATAACACAAAAGAGCGAGCGACAAAAACTATTGAACAGTCCACTACCAAATACTTTTAATTCCGAAATTATTGAAAATTCCCGAAAAAAACTATAATAATAATAATAATAATAATAATAATAATAATACACGAGTATACCACAAGAAGGCAATATACTTACATAATCTACTAGTATATACATAATAGAAACAGGATATACAAAATTATATATACCAGGATATTGCCAATATGACCCACAGTGGCTCTTAAGATTTTAATATGGAAATCTCAAGGACTTCCCTCCTCCTTCTCCCTACCTCTCTGTCTCTCTCCTTCCTCCCCCTCCTCCTTATATTTCTCTCTCCTTACCTCTCCTTCTTCCCCTACTTCTCACTATCCTTCCTCACCCACCCCTCCTCCCTCTCTCTCTCCTTTCTCTCATCACCCAACTCTTTTTTCTCTTTCCCGTCTCTTCCTCTAACTTTCTCTGCTGCCATCCCATCTCTCACTTTCTTTCCCCTTCTTTCTACCTGTCCTCCTCTCTCCCTGCCTATCCCTACCCTCTTTCCACCTTCAATCTATCCTTAACCTCTCCCCTCTCCCCACACTCCTCCACCTCCCAACTTCTCGCCTCTCCCGAACACGCCAAGCTTAGCCCAGGCAAGGGGGTGGGGTGGGGGGGGATGAGGGGTGAGAGGTAGTAAAGGGGGGGTGAGGGGAGGGGTGGGTAGGTAAATATCAATAGGCAGCAATAAATAGAGGCAATTTAATAAAATCTTTAAATTCCTCTTCGGTTGGTATGTGGAAGGGAGGGATGTAGGAAATATGATATTGTAGGAGAGGTAGGAATATGAGAGAGGAAAGGAGAGGAGAGAAAGAGCGAGGAGGGGTGGGTGGGAGGGAGGAAGGAAGGGACGATGAAGGAGAAGAGAGGAGAGCAAGAGGAGGGGGTGGGAGGGAGAAGGAATTCAAAATGTGTACGTGAATGCTTTTTCTGTGTATGTGTGTGTGTGTGTGTGTGTGTGTGTGTGTGTGTGTGTGTGGGCAAAGTTAATTTCTCCTGTATACCGATAGATAGATAGATGGATTGAAGGACAGATAGATGAATGAAAAAAAAATGAATGAAGAATAGATGAATAAACTAATGAAAAAAAAATGGAATGGACAATGAAAGAATGGTTGGATAAATTGATAACGACCGCATATATGGATTGACGAATGACTGTTTTTGATGGATGGATGGAGTGGAAGGTAGAGTCATTCAATCACGCCCAACCACCCAGGCAAGCGTTGACTCGTGTACAATAAACTCATCAATCATCAATATTCTCCACAGCAATTTCCCTCCTTCAATATTGTACTGTGATGGCTCTCTCTGTGTATTTACGATGCAATTTTTCCTTTACTTTCTTTCTCCTCCAGTTATTGTCACCTCTCTCTATATTCTTCTTCTCCCTTCTTCCATATTTTGTTATTATTTACTACTCTCACCCTTTCTCCCTCTCTATATCTTCCCCATCTCCCCATTTCTTCCCCATTCAGGTAGTAACATATCCTCCAAGTACTTTACTTTACTGCCATCAAAACAACATTCATTTTCTGAACTTGAATTGCTCTCTCTTGACCTATGGGTTACACACACACACTTCCCTCTTTCCCTCTCACTACCCCTCTCACTCCAGGCTCCTCATCTCTTTCTACTCTCTCAGGAATGCTTCTCTCTCCTCTCAACACTCATTCCCATATACAGCTCCAGTATTCAAGATAAGGTTACCAGAACTTTTCCTCTCGACTTCCCACCGACTATATAAATTTTTTTTTTTCTACTACACTATAATGAAAGCCACGATACTCAACCCACCTCTTCATTCTTCTTTCTTGTACGACTCTATTTCCCTGTGTTGGGCATTACATAAGGTAAAGGGTCTGATGTAATTATGCTTTAATCACCTCTCTGAAACTGTCATGTCTTTATAGAGGCTTAAAGTCTTACATATACAGACACAGAAAGACAGACAGACAGACAGACACACATACACACCTCAGCCACAGTAAAAAACAGGTTTATTCATCTCATCCATACAGCGTACAGATTCACATAAGCTATTTAATATAACTCTCCTCTTACACATAATTCCTTTCTTCCTTTACTACCTATAACTTACATAAATTCAAAATAAAAGCCAATCACAACTAACCAATTTAATCTCTACATAAATTCAAATAAACTCATTTATTTACTCTTATTTTCTGATGTTTTCTGATGTTTTTGGAATTTATGTCTGAATGAGCGAGCGGTTCATCTCTCCTGCGGTTCCTCGAGTCACTTGAGACGGATGCTCTTGAGACTCAAAGATACAACACGGTAGAGGAAGCAAGACTCGGTAATAGCATCAAGACTTAATAAAAAACACTCGAGTCCAAAACAATAACATAAGACTAACAAAAATAACAATATCGTGATTCAAGAAAACAAAAACGACTCAAATAAACGCATTAAGACTAAAAATAAAATAGAATCAGAACTAAAAAATAAAGTACCATCAAGACTAAAAAAAAAAACACTAACTCAAAAAAATTACTCAAAAAAGCATCCCGACTCAAAAAGAACAACTCACAACACATCACCGGTACCCACCTCTTTGACGGCCCTGTGGACGCTAACGGTGTGCCATTGGTTGTCATCGAAGCGGACGTTGTCGGGTCTGACGGTGACCTTAAGAGGGTCACCACCCATGTCAAGGGTCACCAGAACACCTCCCTCACGAAGAGCCATGTTGATGTAGTCCTTACCATCACCTGTAGGAGAGAGAAGAGGAGGGGGAAGGTGTGTTAATTATATTTCTCGCTCGTTTAATTCCATCTTTATCTCTATCTCAGTCTGTTTCTCTGTACCAAGAAACAGAATACACACTTGGCCTAATACAAAACAGCACACCATTAAAAAAAAAATCTCAAGTCATTATATTCTTGTGTTGAGAAAAGGCAAGAGACGGACATTTAGAATCACCACAAAAAAAATAATAAAAAATAAAATCCCAGTAAAAAAAAAAAAGTCCTGGAGAGAAAATCAGGAGTAATGACGTAAAAATAAATCCAAGGAACTCCAGAGGATGAAGGTTGGACGTGGGGGAGATGCGACAGGGTGAGCAGAGCAAGACTTGTTGGACTTGCAAGGAGATACGACCTGTTGAGACGAGGATTTACTGGATGTTGTACGGCGTTAGCAGGTGAAGAAGGAGGAGGAGAGGAGGAAGAGAAGGAAGAAGTGAAGGTGGAGGAGGAAGAGGAGGAGAAGAAGAAAAAGAGGAGAAGGATGAGGAGGAGAAGGAGGAAGAGGAAAAGGAAGAAAGAAAAGGGGGTGGAAAAGGAAGAAGGAAGAGAAGGAGGAGGAGGAGGAGGAGGAGGAAGAGACTGCTTGCATCTACTGTTGGAAGAGAGAGAGAGCGAGTGTGTGTGTGTGTGTGTGCGTGTGTGTGTGTGTGTGTGCGTGCGTGTGTGTGTGCGTGCGTGCGTGAGTGTGTGTGTGTGTGTGTGTGTGTGTGTGTTTGTGTTTCAAGACCCGTCAGCAAGAATTCCCACAGTTGTTATTTTCTTTCACCTCCTCAACATCACCTCCACTTCTTTTTTTCCTTTTATGAGGAGGAGGAGAAGAGGAGGAAGAGTAGGAGAAGAGGAGGAAGAGGAAGATTATTACACGATACCCTCTACAGCCAAAGTTTCTCCTCTAAGGTAAACTATCATCTTACAACCTCTCCTTGTCTTCCCGAGTGGAGGTACAACAAGGATTTTATCTCTCTCTCTCTCTCCTTCCTTCCTTCCTTCCTTCCTTCCTTCCTTCCCCTTTTCTACTTCGTTTTTCTTATGTTGTTCTTTTCCTTCTTTTTGATTTCTTACTTTCATATTCTTCTTTCCTCCTCCTTTTCCTTTATTTTTTTTTCATTCATTTTCTTTCTTTTTCTTTTTTCTTTATTTCCTCTTCGTCTACTTTTTATATTTTATTCTCTTCAATATGATTTCCTGCATTCCTGCCTTTCCACAGGATTGATCACCATAACAGTAGCTTAACTTAACCTAACTTAACCCCCCAGGTAGGATTGGGGAGGGGGGGGGGGTTAATAGTCAGGTTGAAATAAGCTAGGGTGTCTAATCTTCAGGTAATCCATTAAATAAATACTTTACCAATCAGAGGTTGTTTCATGGCCATCGCAATAAACTCATCTACGAACTAAGATGTCAAATCCATTATCGTTTTTCAATATCAATCAACCATCTCTGGAATAACGGATTTTCTGGAATAACGGATGCTTTGGAATAACGGATTTTTGTGAATAACGGATTTTCTGAAATAACGGATTTTCGGGAATAACGGATGCTCTGGAATAACGGATTTTCGGGAATAAAGGATTTTGCAGATGCTTGCGTTAATTGTTTTGTAACTGATCATAAATAACACCCTGACTTACCGTACAGTTTTAACGTGCTTTTAACGCAATCTATACCACACTAGAAAAAAAAAAATCCCTCGCGTACAAAAACCCAACAAACATCAGTCAGGTCAGAAAGGGACAAGAACTTGACTCACTAAACACAGCCCAAATTAAGACTGAAATCTAAATGAATCCGGATTCTAGCTCAGCGAACGACTACAGACAGCATAATAGAGGTGGTGGAGATAATTTGTACAGTCTATGAATTCTGTACCTTCTGTGGGACATCCTCTGAGGGTACAGTAGAAGGCGGGTATAATGAGGATATGGATTATCTTCAATTACTTCTTTTGTATCTTGGCAAGTTTCCGTTTTCTTTAATTTAATTCTCTCATCTTATAAAGAGTAATTTCTTCTTCTTCTTCTTCTTCTTCTTCTTCTTCTTCTTCTTCTTCTTCTTCTTCTTCTTCTTCTTCTTCTTCTTCTTCTTCTTCTTCTTCTTCTTCTTCTTCTTCTTCTTCTTCTTCTTCTTCTTCTTCTTCTTCTTCTTCTTCTTCTTCTTCTTTCTTCTTCTTCTTCTTCTTCTTCTTCTTCTTCTTCTTCTTTCTTCTTCTTCTTTCTTCTTCTTTCTTCTTCTTCTTCTTCTTCTTCTTCTTCTTCTTCTTCTTCTTCTTCTTCTTCTTCTTCTTCTTCTTCTTCTTCTTCTTCTTCTTCTTCTTCTTCTTCTTCTTCTTCTTCTTCTTCTTCTTCTCTGCGTTTGTTGATGTTTGTTTTATTTTTTACTTTCAAGTTTGTTTTTAATCTCTATTTACATTTTCTTACTCCGTCACATTTAAACGAGAGAGAGACAGAGAGAGAGAGAGAGAGAGAGAGAGAGAGAGACTCCACCTAATGCATCTCTAACATCAGTGGCTATTCGTCGTCTCGCCGCCGTGTGTTCCCAAAGTCTAATCGGCAGAAATAGCGTTTCTATACTTGGGACTGAATGACTGATAATCTGATGAACCTCGCTTTCCTCCCGGCTGCTACATTGACTGTTTCTGCTATATCGAGCAAAGTCAGGGGACGGCAGTGGTGTGTGTGTGTCCGCTGAGACTCCCACATGAATGGGTAATGGTGAATAATGCGGAATGGGAGGAGGGGGATTAAGGAGGGGAGTGGGTGGGATCTGAGTTGGGTATTCTGGGTGAGTTATATCTCATTCTGTAGGGATGGGATGGGTGGAATAGGTAAGAGGGTAAGAAGGTTATTATCAGGGGGGTGGTGTAGTGGGTAGATAGATGAGAATGGGGATGGATGGGAGAGAGAATATGGTTGAGGAAGAGAGGAAGGTGATTGAAAGAATGTGAAGTGCAGATTTGGATGGTTCAGGAGACAAAGAAGAAAGGAGTAAAAACTGAGGAGGACAAGGAGGAGAGGGAGGAGGAGAAGGAAGAAGAAGAGGAGCAGGAAGAAGAAGAGGAGGAGGATGAAGAGGAGGAGGAAGAGGAGGAAGGAAGAATTAGAACAGAAAAAACGTAAAACCTAACAGTCCTGGGAATTACTCGTCCGTTCCAATAAATTTCAAGTTAAATCTAGAAGGTCAAATTCTAGGTCACGGTGTAAAGGTCAACAACACATTCAAAGCAACAATAAAATAATTCTATCAGCCAATAACGCAGCAACATTCATTAATACCCCCCAAAAAAGAAGATGACAGTTAATCATTTTATTATCGAACTCTAATGCTCTTTCAACACAAGCTTCCGGATGTGATGTAATTGAGCAAATGACAAAATTTAGGTCGCGGTCTTCTTTATTTTCTACACTACAGTGATGACAATTGATTATCTAACCAGAAGAAAAACTTGGTATAACAAAAGACATCTGCAGGTTATGACGCAAGTAGTCAATTTTCATACGAGCCCGCCACCGTCGCCGCCGCCTACAGTAGGTCGGAGGTTAATACTATGAATTTTATTCTTTGGAAATAAAAGTGTAATTGACAGCGCTCTTCGTCAGTGTCATTACTAGGTTTATATTAAGAGAAAAGGTTAAATCATATGTCATAATTTACAGTTGGTGTGTGGTAGTCCCTTTGTCTCGTTCAGCCTACGTACAGTATAAAGCTCCTTCACGTTAAAGATATTTTAGAACATCTTTAGGAATAGGATATAAAAATGTCTACCATGTCTGTGAGACGCTTCAAAGAGGAGGACTAAGAGCACTCCTGCACCTACCGGAGAAGAAGAGGACGCCTGCAGGATGTCTGGTCTTGAAGGAGAAGGAGAGCTGGTCACTCTGAGATGCGAGGGGCTGACCACCAGTCCTGCGTAGGTCCCACCAAAGGTACTCACGGCCCCTGAAGGTGATCTCCTCCACCTGACGTTCTGTAGGGCAAAAAGAATCACCTGGTTAGTTTACTGTAGAGAGAATGTTTCATGAGGTAAATAAAATATCATTATTAGTTCACAAAATGACAATATCTAAATATTAGGTTTAGTTCTCTTGCATGCTTACATACTACCATGGATGTCCTTTTTTTTCTGCTTCAAGGTAATGGTAACAGAGATTGTGTTGTGAAAATATACCAAGAGTCAAGTAAGATTACACGTGACGACCAAGACCTTAGATAATTGATTTGAATAAAGGCCCCAGCAGCACCCTAGGAAGATCAAGAAAGACGCTGCAGGACCCCAAGAAAACCCTGGAGGATTCGGAAGGACTTAGTTGGACTATCCAGCCAAGTGAAAGTGGCGTATCCCGAAGGCAGGAACCGAAGAGACACAATATCCTGCGGCGGAGTAGATATTCTGACGGAGGGAGGCGAATCTTGGCCGGCCAATATCCTCCCTGGACAAGCCTATTCCGTCCTTGAAGAATCTGACCGGATTAAATTGAATTTCACCGAGAATGAAACTTCCAAAGAATTGTTATTTGAATGTGTGTGTGTGTGTGTGTGTGTGTGTGTGTGTGTGTGTGTGTGTGTGGTATATCTTGATAACTTTACAACAGCCACAGTCATACACGCACGGCAACAGACGATGGATGGTTCGTGTACTTGATTCCGTGACTGAGGAACTTTAAAGAGTAAACTTGGTGTTGTCCAGTCAAGGTAAGGGAGAGATACGTCCTCACACCGTATTCTGTGGCCAAGAAGTTCGAGGAAAACGTAGATAGTGAGAGAAAAATTGGGAAGGGAGGAGGGAGGGAAGAGGGAAAGAGAGGAAGGAGAGGAAGAGGAGTATTCCCTAACTTTTGGAACAACAACAGACGTTCACCTTCTAATGGTTGCAGCCACCCCTTCCCTTATCCCCCCAGAGTTGTTTAATGAGAACAAGATTCATATGGAACTGCTGCAAATCCCCTCCCTTTCCCCCTCCCCCCCCCTTGTGCAATGACACCGTCAGCTCACCTGGGATTGTTGCACCCCTTCTCCCCCCCATCACGTCACCCACGCTCGTTCCTCATTTCAGACAAAATTCTATTTGATGCGATGTGTCGTGTGGGCTTGCCTGGCTCTGTGTTACTGAGGAATAGGGGTCAGGGGTCAGGGGTCGAGGGCGTGAGAGGTCAGAATTGAAAGGTCATTAATTTGTTGTTAGGGGACGGAGTTATGATAGGTCAACAGGTTGAATAAGCGGCAGCCTAGAATTTCACAAACCACTTTAGAACCAAGACTGTCAATCACCATGACTCCCTGTAAACCTCCACAAATCACCGTCAATCACCACATACCACGACCAAACACCATGACGAGACACAGCGAGACATAGCGAGACACAGCGAGACATAGACACTAAACAACCTCACGTACAGTACCACCCTCACACACACAGATGACACACACACACACACAATCATTATAGCTAACGCCGCCAGCACGAGCGAAGCGACTGTCACGCCAGGCGATGTCATCACCATCAGGAGAGGACCTAATGCAATGTAGGATTCTGCGATGGCTTGAGGCTGTCATTAACGGTGCTTATCTCCTGCCGACACGACCCGACGTCTCACGCAGGCATCAAGGAGGACCTCGGGATAAACATAAGAATATCCAACCTCATGTGAGATGGGTCTATTGTTGGTGACGCTGGTGGTGGTGAGGAGGTGATGATGGTGTTGTGTTGGATGATAGTGATGATGGTGCTGTGTTAGATGATGGTGGTGATGGTGCTGTGTTAGATGATGGTGGTGATGGTGCTGTGTTAGATGATGGTGGTGGTGGTGGTGGGGCTGTGTTGGATGATGGTATTGTGGTTTAGTTGATGCTGAGGGTGGATGATGGTGGTGGTGGTTATGGTGATGATGGTATTGTGTTTTAGTTGATGTTGAGGGTGGTGGTGGTGGTGATGGTGTTGTAGTAGGTGATGGAGGGAGTTGCTTATGATGATGATGATGATGATGATGAGTATATAAAAGAGTAAGGGTACTGGTTGATGTAGATGAGGGTGGTGATGGAAAATGATAGTGATAATGGAAGAAGAAGAAGGGAACGACACAAAGAAGAAAGAAGAAAAAGGAGAAGAAAGGAGAGGAAAGGAAAGGAAAAAAAAACATGAACAAGAAGAAAAAAGGAAGGAAACAGAATAAAAGAAAAAAAGAAGGAAAATAAGAACGAAAGAAGAAAAAGAAGAAACAGTAAAGAGACCAATATACAGAAAGCAAAAGAAGACAACCTTTACTAGACGTATAAGAGAAAAAGATAAATCCCCTCCCCCCCTTCCTTCCCCCTGTCAGAGTACAACAACCCCCCCCCTCCCCCTCACCTCCTTTCCACCTGCCTCACCTCACACACCTGCACGACTTTCTCAGGAGCTCTCTATCACACAGCTCGGCTCCATTTATCACCTTGATTTATCAGTTCATTAACTCGGCAACGAATGACCTGCTCAGGGTGATATATGAATACCGATTACTGTGGCTTTCCAACACTTAAATGTTACAGTCGAAAAAAAAATGGACAAAAAATATTATTCCGAGGAAACGATTACTTGATTGGTAAAGGATCTCGGCGACGTCTCCACACGGTTGAGAATTCCAGGTCATAATGGGTTAAAAAAAAAAATATTATTATATATAATTTGTGATGTGGGGCAGAAATATGGCTGTAAATCCCTGTGTGTTTGGTTATTCATGGCCTAATTGTTAAGTCTGATTAATCCAATTATAAAAGGGTCTCTCTCTCTCTCTCTCTCTCTCTCTCTCTCTCTCTTAAAACCCACTTGTATCAGGGTATTTGTGGACTATGTGGGTTACTCTACATTACTGTCTCTGTCTCTCTATTATTTCTCTCACCACAAAGAGATAATAAACAGGAAATAGAGAGAGTGACGTCATATTCATCATACCTTCCAAAATACTTAGACAACGGTATAATAGTAACACACAAAGACAGACAGCTTGGAGACCGCGATATATCACCACCAAATGAGCGGACCTAACTTCCCTTACACTCACCTCAGTAACAGAAGGATAAATAGTTATTTCTGGCAGGCTTAGCTGTTGTGTGTTACCGCCCGAAATAGGACTTATAAATTGCCTCTTGTCAAGGCTTCTGAGCTTTTTGTGAAACAGGTCATAACTTAGGCTTGAGTGCATCTCCTGAGTGTTCTTAACGCGAGATTTATTGCCGGATGCAACCTCCCACCGGATTCACGATTATTCCCGTGTTTTTTTTTCCGTAATTCAGAATCAGGCCCTTATGTTGTAATCTATCTCTGAAAGCAACCACAAACAGTATTCATGATAATTTTTCCATTTTTTTTGTAATTCTGTACCAAGCGACTACGATTCTGAATTGGAAAATAACACGAATGTTCGAAGATATTTAAGAGATATACATAGGATAAGATGAGAGTAAGATTGATATCATTGAAAGACACGAATTTATTGAAGGATACAAGATAATGCGTGCCAGATTGTTTTTTGCGATTCAGAATTGGAAAAGTGTTTGACGATTCTGTGTTTGTTCATTCTCTCAATATATCTCCAATAACTGATGGGTTAACTTAGAATATTTAACACTGTAGAGGGATTATACCAAGTTATTAATCTAATCTAACCTAACCTAAGCAAATCAAACTAAACCAAAATTCTTACAATAATAAACTGAACACATACATACACCTTCAGTTTCTATTTTATTGCACGATTCGAATTGACTGTCGGATTCAAAAATTTCGCCCGTGTATTTGAGATTCTGAATCACACCCGCGCACGATTCTGAACTGAAGATAATATTACTGGTCGGAAGATTTAGTGCCACGGATAAAATATTCGAGGTGTATAGCCCATATTTTCTCGCCACACACACACACACACTCAAGGGGTATAAGTATATTACACGCTGTTGTCTCGTCAGTGTGGCCATAGTAATTACAACAGGTGAATGAATGTCTGACCTGACTTGCTGACACAGGTGAGTGAATTGACTGGTGATTTCGGTAATGTTATGAATTTATTAGTTTGATTTAATTTTCTATGTATTTAGTTTTCTCTCTCTCTTTCTATCTTAATCTCTCTTTCTACATCTCTTTCTTCGCACCTTTCTCTATCCCTCTCTTTCTCTCTCTATCTCTCCTTTCTAATCTATTCCAGTGTGATCAAAGTTTACAGTGGTGGTGGTGAAGGCTTATGGCTACCTGGCTTAATGGTGGTCATTATACTCTAAATAGCCTCTCTTCTATACTCCTTATGTCCTCTCATTATCACGCTGTCTCCTTATTCTCTCCTTCCATCTCCCCTCTCTCTTTATCTATTTGTCTTTATTTCTCTCCCAATTCTCACCAATTCCTTCTTCTTGATCTTCTAGTTCCTCATATCTACCCAATTTTTATTTCTCTCTTCCTATTAATTGTAACCTCCTATTTATGCCTATTTGGTGCCCATTTGTCCCTATTTCATTCTATTTTTTTCTCTTTCCTCTTTCACCATCCATTCCTCTTTCCCTCCATCTTTCTCTTCTTTTCCATTTATGTTTATTCTTCTCTATTTTTCACTCATCTCTCTTCTTCGTCCACATCATCTTAACCTTACCTGTGTTCTCTCCTCCTCTCCCTTTCAATCCATTTCTTTCTCATCTTTTCACCACCCATCCCTCTTTCTCCTCCTCTTCCTCCTTCTCATCTTCACCCATTCATCCTTCCTTCCTTCCTTCCTCCTCGTCATTTCAACCAATTCACCTCATCCTCCCCTTCCTCTTCTCAATCGCCATCTACTAATTCCTCCTCCTCTATCTTCCTCCACTTCTTCCTTCATAACTCAATTCCTCTATACTTCCTCCTCCTCCTCCTCCTCCTCCTTTCCACCCCACTCTTCCACTCTTCCTCCTCCCCATTTCCAATGTCTGTCTCCCCCCCCTCCCCTCCATCTCACACTCCTAAAACGT